CCAAGAGTTCTTCAAAGTCTTCCATCTTCAAACAAACTTTAGTTTTCTTTTCTACTTGCTGTTCCTAGAGACTCCTCCGGTTTGGATGCCAAACACAAAGGGGAGTCAACCCAAGAAGTACAAAGAACAAGGCTTGACCCCTTTGCAAACTATCCAAAATGCCCGCTCCTCGATATATTATGTTTAAAGACTTCATTGACAACAGTTTGTATTGAGAAAACTTCAAGTTGTTGTTAACTTTTAGACTTGAATCTTCAATTTGCTTTCAGTCTTAGATTGGTACAAGTGATCGTCAGGAAGAGTTATGAGAAACATATAAATTTGAACTAAATTTAATATTAAAATTTTTTAAAATTTAAACTTTAAAGTTTAATTATTTATAAATTACTTAAGGGTAGAGTATATATAGATCATTTATCATATGATATATATGGTAAATTTTTTTGTGTAACAGATTACATAGTAAACACAAATCTAATTGGGTAATTACCTGTTTTAGAAATATTTTTACTATGATTTTTTTGTGTAACTCTGAGAAATGTGAGAAATTCTCAGAAACTTTATAACATATATATGCTTATTTTTTAAAAATAATATAGCTCCCAAAAGTTTTACTACTATAAATAGAAGGTTTAAACTATAAATTACCAAATTTTGATAAAATTTAGCTATGGCTTTGAGAATTTTTACTAGTGACGTATTTTACTTTATATATAAATTCCTATTATATCACAGAGAACATATGATAAATGATCGACCTATACTCTACCCTTAATATAATTAAAAAAAATTGGTAATAAAGTTAATAGAATATATATTATAGAATATTTTTTATGAGAATTATAGATCTTATACTATTAATAATTTTTTGAATAATTTGACAAATTATAAATTTTTAGTCAAATTCAGAGCAAATTTGCCTTCAATACAGTTTAAGGAATAATACTACATTCTAATCTTTTATAAAGTTTATAAGCTTATATTTTCATTATTTTATGTTATTAAGCTATTTTACTAACAGCATATATTTTCTTTTAGAATAATAACTAAAGTAAATTAGCAATATAAATCTTTTAATATTGTTATTATTTTATTAAGTTTAATATACTGTAAACTATATTGGCTAAATTAAAATATCTAAATATACTTTTTATCTAACTTTTGAATTATTTTATTAATTATTAAATTACTTTATATATTGTAGAGCCAAGGGTTTAGATTCTGTAATTTAGTAGTTAAGCTCTCAAACTTTTACAAACAAGATTGATAGTTTAAGTCAAGCTGAAAACAAATTATTTAATTTGTTTTTATAAACTTAAAAGACTATAATTAAATGCAAAACTCTGTAGTTAAGCCTAAATGCAAATATAATATTGAAATAAAAATTTCTGAAAGAAGACCCAAATATGAAGAATGAACACTATATGTAACTGTAATATTACAAAAGACTGTAACTATGAAAATTGCACAAATAAGTTCTTTGAGACAGAACAGCACCAATATTTTTGTATTTCTGATTTAAATAATATCAACATCTCTATATCTAATTTGTAAAGTACTTGTTTTGAAGAGTGATTATTAAACTATGCAAATAAGTTCTTATTTGGGTTAGAAGATATAGATATTTGCTTAGGAGGGTAACTATCTAACCAAGGTTGAAATAATGAAAAAAATGATAAAAATATGGATAAACTATAATAAAAAATTGGTTTAAAAGCATATCTGACAGCACAAAATGAAAATACTATAGAAGACAAGAGTATGAAGGTTGTCTGATGTTCTGAGTATATATAAAAATACCAAATTAGACTCTAGTTACACCTATATAAAAATCTTGACGAACAAGTTTAGGATCTACCAACCTCTGGGATTTATAAGACAAATAGTAATATGACATCACTGAGGTTAATGTAATTTTCTAGATATAACCAGAATTGTTCTGGTCTTATATGACAACATGCTGAAAGCATCACTAGGGTTGGTATTATGTTGATATCTTAAAATTTTAATTATAAAACAACTTCTGAGATTCTAACAAAAAAAATTCCTTGCAAAATTTTAATATAAATTATACTTTTTTCTAACCCTAAAGCTAACCTTACTCTAACATTAAATCAGGTTTAATTTTTGACTCACAATTATATGTTATACGAATTTGTAAATCAATTAATACAGTATATACGTGTTTATATATAAAGCATTAAAGTTTAATTATCTTAGAAATAATCCAACTATATTTAATATATTTAAAAGCGGTTTGAATTATACAGATATTTCCTAAGATACGTACGTATCTTTTAATTTTGAATAGACAATCGGACTACCGTAAAACGCCGTAAAAGGTATCCCCCTTGATTTGTACCCCCCTTGATTTGTACCGGGTATGTTTCAAGGTTATTTGTTGTGGTGTTTTGTAAGAGACCCGGGTATAAATCAAGGATCGATTTAATAATGAAAATCTTTTTTTACTAATGGGCTAATATATGTTTTTCACAAGATACCCCCCATATAATATACCCTCCTCCATACAAGGTACCCGGGTACCTTATACGGCGTTTTACGGTAAGCAAAATTTTATAAAATTTGCAAATATGATAAGATCTAGCGCTAAATTTTGCCTAAGTAGACACTTGATTAACCACATAGTGGACGTTTTACTTAACTATAGTAAAGTAGCCAATCACATAAAAATCCATAAAAATCCGTCTTCGAAAATTACACAATTGATGTTGTCACTCCATTGTCATATGAAAAAAGTTTATATAGATAAAACGCTAAAACTTCTTCGATTGTTTGGAATTATCAAAAAAAATGTCTTTCATACCTTTTACTTTACAAACTTTGGTCAATAACATAGTTCTTGAGGATTACCAACAGTCGAATCTTCAGAACCATGGAAACAGTGGAAGTAGACTTAGTCGGCTTGGGAGTGGAATTGGATGGGGAAATAAGGATAACAAAGTAACTGTCGAATCTGTGGAAGCTTGGGGTATGTTAAACACGATTGCTTATATCATATTAAAAAAAGGACACTTATAACATTTTATTTTATTTTATAGAAAATAATTTATACGTAGGCACTTCAGACGGGCAACTTATTCATTATTTATTAGACGATCAACTATCATCTGAAGATGTTTGTATTTGTATTATTAATTTTATGTAAAATTATTATAAAATGTTCGAAATAAATATTTTTTTTATAAACCATTTGATATGATTTATTTTATAATGATAATAGAATGCACCAAATAGCATGATTCTGTCCAAAAGGTCTCTTGGTTTCGGGAAAAGAGTCATTGAACGTATTGTACTTTTCCCGCAAATCTACAAAGCCATTATTTTTTGTGGCAAGTTATTACATATTTAAACAATATAATTGTAAATACATTAATTGTCAAAGAAATTTGAAATAATTCATATTATTTATTTATTACAATTTGTTGATTTATTCAGACACTACACTATCTTTTTATTCTCTTCCTAATATGGCTCCTCTGCCACCTCAGAATTTCCCTCCTATAAAGGGCGTTTCTTGTTTTTGTCATGACATTTCTAAAGAAGGGAAAGTTGATCAGGATGGTGCTGTTAGATTTTGTGCGATAAAGAGGAAAACAATATGTATTTATTCATTGGGAGATCGCTTGAGTGAAGAATTGGTAATTACCTAGTATTAGTATTTCTAATTTTTATATGTCCGTAATATTTAAAACCTTTTTCCTTGGTGACCGGGCTTCAATAGCAAATACCATTACCCGACGGTGCAATCACGGCTTGTCAATATGGTCCCTATGTATGTGCAGCAGATCATCATCAATATAAGGTGATTAATTTGCAAGAGAAACGTATGATACCTCTTATGGATTATGCGGATGCTGGTATTGAACATTTCAGGCCAATAATAACAATAATTTCGGATAAAGAGTTTCTGTTGGTTTCGCCACTCAATTCTGATCATATCCTTGTTAATTTCATTACATTTTTTGGTCTTATGATTTTTACATTTTCAATTATTGGTTATAATCGTAATACGATATTAGATTCCTTAATTATACTAAATTATACAGACGACAATAGGTCACTTTATGTCATTCGGATGCGATCCAGTCAGAGGGACTCTAGAATGGCAAAGTTTTCCAAGGGCAATTGGTACTTGCTTTATATTGATTCATTCATAAATAATATCAATGAAATATTTATCTATTAATTTACGTACAGGCGTTGATTATCCTTATTCTGTTGCGTTGCTTCGCAATAATACTATTGAAATTCACAATATTATTGATCAACAACTCGTTCAACGTGTTCCTTTATCATCAAAGACCAAAACGCTATCCACTGGCCCTGGAATTAAAGTACGAGTTGCTGGTTTGATGGATAGATTAAAATCGGTGAATGTCCTTTCTAAACTTAATAATGACGTACAATCTTCTCAATCCGGAGAAGACATAAGAAATGGACTATCCAACTCTTTCTCTGCTGTTCCCACGAGACTTATAATGGCTGGTAGTGAGTGTATCATGGCTTTGGTGACAACCCCTTTAGTCATTCAGGTATTATATTTGACTTAAATATAGATATCTACTGCATATGTTGATCTTTCTACTGGGTATGCCGGTAGCATAATAGGCTTTATTCCGATTGGCTAATTCTTATATATCAATTCGTTCAAAGTCAAGAGATTATACCTGAAGAGGAATTGTTATTATATAACTATAATAAATAGAATAACTTGGTAATTTAATAATACCAAGGTATAGATTTTCTCAACGAGACAATCTCTAGTCAGATGATATATGCATAATTAACCAATCGATGTAATAACTTATATGCTATCTACCACCTTATGTTACTGACCTTATGGTAGTTATTATACATGTGGCCGAAACTATTTCGACTTATTTCGAAACTAGTTACGTAAAGTTTTGACACAAGCTGAAACAATTCCGTCCACATGTATAGTGTCTACCAATCCATTTTATTAATCGTATATATATATATTTTTTACATTATATTTATATAATTATTCTTTTTCGTAGGTTGATGCGATCTTAGATTCAAACTTTGAGCGTATTGAAGAGGCTTTAGAATCTGCAAATCGAGCGATAAGTACCGCGACACCCGAAAATGTCCATAGTGAAAGAATGGTAAGAAATAAATCATTTTACAAATTTTTAACAGCAATTAAATGTTCATTGAAATTTAATATTGTAATTGCCATAGCACCATGAATTCAAATATATCTATCAAAAATCTGGATTTGTCTATCTTGGAGAAACATATTTTGACCTAGCTTTCGGGTTGTTTGAAAAAGGAAAAGCTGATCCGCGAATATTGATTCGTTTATTTAGTGATTTAAAAGATATAATTTGTGAAGATGATCCAATTTATCTTTATTCTGGCATTATGTCCATTTATGACCGTTTGGGTAGCATTGATAATATAGGTAATTAATGTATTACATATTTTATTTTAAGTATTAAAGTTTCATTAACAAATTGTGTGTCCATGAAATTCTATAGTTTCAAATGGTCTTGTAAAGAATTATGATCCACACACGATGCCGGATCTTGATAATAATCCTGGTGCCCAAGTACTTCGTAAAGCTCTTTTTTCAACATCAAAAGAAATGCTACAAAAGTTTTTGATGAAAGATCGGGAACAACGTAAAGTACCGGGGCGGGCTTTATCAAAGGAAGATAAAATTATTTTACGGGTAAGTGTAAGCATATTTGTATAAAAATTTTCTGCTTATATTCATTCCTATTTGTCTATAATTGTAACAATAGGCTGTAGATAATGCACTTCTTCGGTTATATGCAGAATGTAATTCTGATGATTCTGATGATTTATTAAAAAGCCTATTAGAGAGCGAGAATGAATGCACTTTAGCTCTTTGCGAACAACCTCTAATTGACGCTAAAGTAAATAATGTTAATAGGTTTTTTTGTTCAGATATTTTTGAATCTACAGTAATTTGACATACAAGATTATATAATCAATGGACTATTTTAGAAAATATATTATTTGGCCCTTCTTTATAAAGAGAAAAAGGAATACGCTAAAGCTTTGGAAATTTGGCATAGGTAAGTTCTTAAAATGTGAATAAAACAAAAATCCTTTATTTTTATTTTTTATTTGTTGTTAAACAATGAATGGTTTTTTGTAGCATTATTGAGCAAGAAAATCCTGAAAATGATTTACCAGAAGGTTTACATCAAATAGTAGACTTACTTGGAAAATGTGATAATCCAGAGTTGTTGTGGAAATATGCAAAATGGGTAATCCAAAAAGATGAAATTATGGGCGCAAAGGTTTAAATATTTTCAATTTTATAAACTTTGTCATTTCATTATTTGGTACTAAAATCATGTATTAATTTATATAGATATTCACTCAAATGGATCCAAAAAAACCTATGATTGTTGAACCTAGTATAGTTTTATCTGAATTAAGGTCAGCCGGGAAAAGTGGTTTAAAAATACTTTTAGAATACCTGGTCAATCTGCGTAAAAGCCAGGTTAGGATGATCTTTTAAAGCTTTGAAAGTCATATATTTATAAAATTAAATCAGATTATATACATTCTTTATAGGAAGAATCGTATCATACAGAACTAGCACTTCTATACATACAAGAAATTATGGATGAATTGCTCAAGGAGGAAACAAGGTTGAAATTTGAAGAAATAAGTACTGTATTAAAATATTACCTCCTTCTATAGATTAAATTTATACCTAATGTTATTTTTGTATATAATTTTAGATAATGAATTCATGAAAGGCTCGGAAGATCCTGGGCTAACATATTTGACATTCTTATTGAACCATACCGACGATTCGTTGTCACAGGCTCGGGCTAAACTTATAATGTTTCTTCAATCGTCAACAAAATATAACGCGGAAGAAATTTTAGTAAAACTGGAAGAGGTCGAGATATTGAAAGCGGAACTTGCTGTTATTTATGGAAAGGTATCCGAAGTTTTTTGAAATTAAAAATCATTCGGACAGTTCAAGAACTAATTAAATTTTATTTTGTCCGCTTATAGTTAGGTCATCATGAAGATGCTTTGTATATCTTAATTCGTGATTTGAAAGATTATCGTGGTGCCGAAATTTATTGCCTTAGTGTGGGTCGTATAATTGGCATAGTTCGCAAAACTACTAAAAAACAAGTTGAAAAGAAAATTTCTGAAGAGAAAACCCTCGTTTCAAATAGAAAATGTCTGTTTTTGATGTTACTTAAAGTTTATCTTAACATAGACAAAGGGTAATTATTTATAAAGGTCACAATACTTTAGGCAGTTACTATATATTTATAATCTTGATCACATTTTAGTACGGGTGAATTGCTAGGAAAAATCATTCATTTATTAAATACACAAGCTGTGTATATGGATATCATGGTGGTAAATAATACTCATTCAATTCAATATTTATTTATTTTTCAAATACGCTAACACATATATATATTGTAACACGCAGGTTTTGGAGCTTCTCCCTGAATATTGGTCAGTTGAGATGTTGAATGAATTTTTAATTCGTTCTTTAAGACAAACCTACCATGAATATAGAGAGGGTCAAATTCTCAAGGGACTTTGTCTAGGTGAAAATGTAATGGTAAGCAATAGTATGGTTATTTATGATTTTTTATCAGTAGGTTCAATTTTACGTGCTAAGTCGACTAGCAAATTATTTATCGTTTTTATTTTTTATTATATTATTATCTTTTTAATAGATAAATTTGGAATTATATAAAGCTTATCAAGAAGGGGGACCATCTGTTATTACACAGAATGTTGCATGTTCATTATGTTCAAAATATATTAGTGGATCTGATTTCATGAAACAACCAAATAATGATATTGTACATGTAAATTGTAACGTTTATCAAAAAGAAAACGATGATTGATTTTACAAATCCAGTAAGTGTTTAGGCGGGTGTGTTATTTTAGAATATTAATTTTTTATTGCGATAGTTGTATATATAAAAACTTTTGTGTATAATTAGATAAATTTTGTGTATATGTATTGAAATCATTCTATAATAAATAATTTATTTTTTTGAAAAAATATTAATTTAAAAAAATGGTTCTTGATATTAAAATTAATAGTTGAATATTTGGAATGGAACTTTAATACAATATTTGCACCGTAACAAGTACTAGTGCCTCATCATCCCAAACTGTTTGGGTTATGTAGAATTCCAAATAGTATTTACTACAGTAGGTTTCATAAGTTGCCTCTGATTTGCCGTGATGTTAAATATTTGACATACTAGAAATTCCAAAATTTTTACATGTAAAAATTGAGTTTGGGACTCATCCCAAATCATCGGATGAATCTATCCGTGATATAGTTTTAAGTTTTCACGTTCATTGTTTTAATACTAAGGAACGAAAAAAAAACTTTACACATTTAATCGTCTACATGCAGGAATACGTATATTTCCAGTATTCCTCGATCCGACTAAGTCGATTTTATCGACTAACGCCAAGTCAACTACAATTACTAAACCCGATTCTTCTATAATAAGCTTATTTCTATTCAAATAAACAAACAATTAGCAACAGAAATTTATTTAATATAACTGATAACATAATAAAGCAGTATTGAATAAAACGCTTGCGGTACCGTATTGTCGCGGAATAACTTCCACCTGCGCGTTATTTAGATATTTTCCCGAACCTGGTTTTTCAATTTATTACATACCTGTGTTGACACCTAATTAGAGTTTCGGGTGAGACTAATTTTGAGTTTCGCCACGCCACAGTTTCAACCAGGGTTTCTTACTGGCTATTATATTTATTTTTACCCGTTTCACCAAATTGTCACCAGTTTCACTATATCTTATACGGGGTACGCGTTATTTCGGGACGCGCATCTGCGTTATTTTGAAATCATCTATGCAAGGTATGATTTCTAAATAACGCTCATGCCCGTTATTCCGCGCGACAATATGGTAGGCAGATTTTATCTTCTAAGCAAAGTTCCTTAGGAGTTGAACTTTTTTTTTTTTATTCTTTTGCATAGTGAATGTTAATATTTTGTTGAAGCTTGAATGCATAAATTACCCGGAAAAATCCTATGAAAATCATCAATCTTTGAACTTGGGTATACCCGATTAGAAGTCTTAAGTTTTTTTGAATAATTTAAAGTTTTAATATTACATTATTAGCAGTCAGACCTCTCTAAATGCACCTCCCTAAGTGCATAGTCTATGAAAAACTTCTCTAAATGCATGGTCTTGTTTGGCCCAACTCATATAATACATATAGAGTTTTACCTCCCTAAATGCAATACCTCCTAAATGTAAGAATTTTTTGATTTTTTCATATAGGCCTCTTTGCTATGCATTTAGGTAAGTCTAACTGATGTCAATTCGAAAATCAACAAAAATATATGATCAAATCTCAGCTAGAAAACTTGCATCTAACTAGACAAACTGTCCATAAAAGGCTAATACAAAAATTGAAACATGTAACCAGGTATGATTGCCCTGTCACTTCGTTGACAGGCTTCTCAATATTTCTGAATTTATTTTGGATTAATACTATTTCGCATTAGATTTTCATTTCTGGTTTGCATGATAGAAATTATTTGAGATGTTCTAAACTACGCAATAAATAGTATCATCTTAAGGTATTTATTGCCGTGTTCTATGTACCGTAATACTATAGATCACGTAGTTTGGAACGTCTCAAACAGTTTGGATAATACTAATGATGGTATTACATAGTTACCATTACTACTCATGAGAACACTTTTTATTTTATTATTCTCAAAAAATTTTTAATAGTAAACAGTAAAAAATTTTTACTGTGCACAAATTTATAATCATGTTTTCAAACACTAAAGTTGAACACTGTTGTCACTCACCTTATATTCATCCTTTTTAACACCAATTCGTTGAAAATAACAATATCCAACATCATATGGTCCATCAGCGTCACTAGTCTTGTTCATTCTTTTCAACTTCAATTCCATGAAAGATGGTAATATCCAATTTCCAATAAGACCCTAGTGTCACCAACTTAAAAAATTTCGCTAAAAAAATTTTCACAGTTAAATTAAGATTAGGTTTTGCTATTAAGTTAGGTTAAAGAAAGTTTTCCTAATACTAAAATTTCGCAAGGAAAACTTTTTGTTAATGCGCAGAAAGTAGTTTCATAGGTAAAATTTTTTGTTTTTTCGTGTTACACCGGATCTTGAATTCTGATTGGCTGGCGAAATAGTAGCGAAATTTTTTAGGGTGGGGGGTTAATATCCAATACTATTTATTTGTTCCACATATCTGCGAATTTCTGATAGTAATGAATACAGTATCTTACATTTATCCTTTTTCAACTCCATTTCCATATTGATAACAATATTCAACACTATATGTTTCAATGACGTCTTCCATCTCTGCTAATTTCTCTTCAACTCCAATTCCACTTCGATACCATCTATAGGGTGTTATGTATTAAAGCAGCCTATTTTACATGTACAGTACAGTCTAACCTTCCTATAATCACACCCCTCGGGATAAAGATTTGTGTGATTGTAAAGAGAATTTTACTGAGATGTGCTTATAAAGAGGTTTTTTTCTATATGGGATCTTTGCTAGGAAAATCACCCTTCGATCGGACTAATTCGGATAAATTCAAACCAAACACCCAGTACTTATTTGCATGCAAATCATTTTTGCCTTTATTGATTCAAATGCTTATTCGATAAGCTATTGAATAAATAAGGAAAAAAAATTAAATAAGAACCGGTATGTTGGTTTAAAACGTTCCGAATTAGCCCGATCGGAAAATGTCGGAAAGTGATTTTATAAAGAGAATTTTTATATGATGTGCTTATATAGAGGGTGACATACAAATAGCGATAATAATAAACAAATTTTTTACTTTATTTTTGATATTTTTATTATATAATTAGCTCTTATTACTTATGACAAACTTTTTATTGAATATATATATATTCAAAAATTGTAAAAATGGGCTGTTTTAATACGTAACACCCCATAAGCTCTATTAGCGTCCTCCCATCTTTGCAATTGTTTATAATACTGTTTTTATACATTGGTCACTATAATCAAGATAGCAGTGTATAAATCAGTTATACCCTGGGCACTATGTGTATAAGCGGAAATGAAATTTCCGCTTATACCCAACTGCCCAGGATATAACTATTACAAATGAATTCCTCATCATCCTTTCAACACCAGTTTTATTAAGGTAGCAATTTGATAAATAAAGTTAATAAACCCTATTTAACATGTAACGGTTCTAAGATCGATTGTTCGACCAGGGGCAAGTCTCTACGTCAGATACCCAAAAGGATATCTGACTCTGATAAGTATCTCAAGAAAATGTTTCGAGCCCAATGAAAATCTCTATCCATTGAGAGTTTGCATAAAACGCAAGAAAATCTTTTAGCACCTTTTATATTATTTCTAAAACTACAATTACCAAACGCTTGACTAGTATATTTCTAAACATTACTACCGTAATGTGCCATATAAACGACCCGGGTCTGTAACATTCCACCAATTTTCAAACCTATATTTAGACCCGGGGGTCTTTTGTATGGGTGTGGGTATGATAATTGGAGGTTTATTCTATTTCTTTATTTTTTTCTTAGTATTTTCCTATTTGTATACCCGGGTCTCTTACATTTTACCAAAATTTTATCCTATATTATAGACCCGGGTCTAATTCATGAGGATCTGATATATAGGGGGATCTTTTATATAGCACATTACGGAATTTAAAATAATTGATATTTAATACGTATTGTGTAATTTGATACAGAATGTTGTAATTCATACATACCGTCTTTTAATTTGTTCTAAACAATTCATAAACTTCCGGACTGAACAAATCCAACACAAAAAGTTCAGCCTTGAACCAGAACCAAACTGGGTTTCAGTTCGAATTCGAACCAAACCTGAACATAATCCAAAGTTTGATTCGTTCCGGATTTGTAAATACTAAATTACGCAAGTGGCGTTTAACACCATATGGGCGAGTGCACAGCAAAAACCATGCCTAGAGTATATAATCTATATACTCTAAGCATAGTTTTGCTATGTACTCACCATATATGTATATATATGATTTAATAGCTTTGCTAATACAAAGTCACTCTCGTTATAGTGAACTCTCGATATAGTGAAAACTAATTAAATCTCGATATAGTGAAGTTAAGCTCAAAGCCAGTTTACATAAAATTCTCTCGATATAGTGAATTTACTAATAAAACTCTCGATATAATGAATTTTTAA